AATGAAACAATATAAAATAAAGCAAAGTGAAATAATATCTGTTTAATATTATCTAATAAAATAAATTAAAAAATTAAGTAAAAAATAAAATGAATAAAACAAAATAAAGTAAAAAAAAATTAAATGAAGTAAAATATAATAAAATAATGAAAAAAAAATAAAATAAAGCAAAGCAAAGTAAAATTAAATTAAATAAAAAATTAAAAAAAAATTAATGAAATAATATAAAAGTAAAAAAATGAAATAACATAATATAAAACAAAATAAAAAATATTAAAAATGAAATAAAATATATAATATATAAAAAAAAATAAAATAACATAAAAATTAATCAGATGAAAGTTAAAAAAATAATACAAAATTAAATAAAATAGAATAAAATAAATTCAAATAATATATAAATCTTTATAAAATGATATATAATATAAGATAAAAAAAAAATAAAATAAAATAAAATGAATAATCCATAATAAAGTAAAAAGTGAAATGAAATAAAATATAATAAAACAATGAAAATAAAATAAAACAAAGCAAAGTAAAATTAAATTAAATAAAATAATAAAAAAATAAATTAACATAATATAAAACCAAATAAAAAATATTAAAAAATAAAATAAAACAAAAACAACATAAATAAATTGATATAAAATATAATATAATATAATAACATAAAAATAAATCAGATGAAAGTTAAAAAAATAATACAAAATTAAATAATTAGAATAAAATATATTCAAAAAAATATAAATTATAAAATATAAAATAATATATAATATAAGATAAAAAAAAAAAAATAAAATAAAATGAATAATACAAAATAAAGTAGAAAAAGAAATGAAATAAAATATAATAAAACAATGAAAAAAAAAATAAAACAAAGCAAAGTAAAATTAAATTATATAAAAAAAAATAAAAAAATGAATTAACATAATATAAAACAAAATAAAAAATAAAATAAAACAAAAACAACATAAATAAATTGATATAAAATATAACAAAATATAATAACATAAAAATTAAACAGATGAAAATTAAAAAAATTATACAAAATTAAATAAAATAGAATAAAATATATTTAAAAAAATATAAAATTTAAAATATAAAATAATATATAATATAATATATAAAATAATATATAATATAATATAAGATAAAAAAAATTAAAAAAAAATAAATTAACTTGAATGAAACAAAAATAAAAATTTATATTTTTTAAACTCTCATACAATTGGCCACAACAGCCGAGTGGTTATTGGTGCGTGCAGCTTTGCGGAAAGTCATAGGATGGCGTCCGCGCAGCTTTAACATCTTATATTGTAGCATACAAAGCTTTCTATTTGCGGTTGCCCCTTGGCAATGAATGTAGGTCGCTCCGAGTATATTTCTGACATGAAATAAACAGTGCGCATCATAAAGATCCATCAGGTATTTGTTAGACCCTCCATTTGTGACACAAACAACAAGACTTATACCATAAAAGCATATAAAAGCACGGCGGAAAGTTGCTAAATCATTTATTTGGTAGTTCAAGTTTGCTTACCCAGACAATAAATTTAACAGTACTCAGGGGAGAAACACTGTTTACAGAGTTCGACTAGATAATATTTTCTTAGCAGTGCCAATAATGTTCATTGAATAGGTGCCTAAAGCTAAAGGTAAAAGTTAAGCTTAATTTCAGATCACTTCTTTTTTAACTCAGAAATATCTGAGTGATCGCATACGGTCGTGGTGATCGCGTTCATGGTATGATAGGTGACTCAAGTGATGATCATTCTAATGCCTTCCCTCACAACTCCAGTTCAAGCTTTTTACTCTACCCCGTTGGAGAGTGTGTCTCTATATAATTTATTTAATACAATATACATTCACTGATCATACATACATACATGCGAGTACGTAGGCAACGGGGGTGATCTATTCAAAACATTATATCTACAATAGACTAACTAAGTTATTGCATATTTGTTAAAATTTTATGACATCATGAAAATAAAAATTTGTCATTATCACATTTTTATGTCCATAATAAAACTTTCCTCACTTCTTTTTTTTTGGCTTATGCCTGCCAAGAAGCGCACACTTCTCAGTTCAATCATCAGCATTCAATTCGTACTGTCATACTCGCATATACATATGTACATGTGTACATATATTTTTTGTGACCTTATCACCGCCATAGTTCACTGTGTGGTCATATAAAAATAATAACGAATTTCCCACCATTTAATAATTACAGTTCAATTCACTATACAGCACTTAGTTTAATTCTCTCAGTTTGAGCGTGAGCGTGACGAATTGATTGGGAGTGAGAGAAATTCTATACAAAAATAGCAAGATTTTAGCTTTAGTGATAAATATATGTACATATATTTGAGTGCGATAAATGTATGTATGTATATGTAAACATTTTTTGCGGAACATTACGTGTAAGGGGAGTTTATGACTTTTTTGCTGAAGTTTAGAGAGCGAAAGTGAGAGCGAGAGAGAGAGAGAGAGTGATTACGAGCATGTGAAATGGGGCGTATGTGATCAAGTTGCTTCAAATTTCTTTAGTGGTAAGGAAATAAACATATAAAAAATTCATAAATAAAAGATAAGTAAGGCAGCGCTAAGCTCGGTTGGAACTGCCGGTATAAATGAAAAAAAAAAAAACATTTTTAGTAATTAATTTAGCATATTTATCGATTGATCCCCAGAGTAAGCAGTATTTATTGAGGGATCAAGATCTCAGAAGGCTTCAAATCTGTAGTATACTCTAATAGGAACCCAGGAAATGGTCTCCAATCGCAGTGAATACGAAACATCAGGGGGTTGTGAGCCCGAATCTCGAATCAATAATGATGAAAAAGGCATTCCCTTAACCTATGAAGATGAGCAAATAGTACTTGCACGCGGGAAGAACAGCTATATGGTGGGAGCCGTAGACATGCCGCTTAAGGTATTCTAAAATAGCTACGAAGAGCTAACAACTTATTTGCAGAATATGATCAGGCAAAAGTGTTCACGATACGAGTATGCGCGAAACCCAAGTGCGCTCTGTCCAATTTATGTAAGAGGGTGACGCATACGTGTAGTTCGCCCAAATAATCGTGTAATAAGCCGAGTGGTTAGCAATGCGTCTTACCATGCGGCAGTTCTTGGAGTCGAGTTTCGGCTCGACCAACTGCCAAAATTATAGAAAATCATATAATCCCTCCAATTGCTGTCGCCTCTCGGCAGGTAATGTCTATCACTCTAAGTGTATTGCTGAAGAAACCGGAGCCGGCTTAGAATAAACTGTAAGTCTTCCCAATTTTTGAATAAGACACTAAGACGCTCAACACAATTTGAAAGAGGAGCTCGGTTTGGTAGTGAACCAGTACAAGACGGAATGTCTTCGGCCATCAAAACTGCTGCCGGTCATAATTTTGATGTTGTAACTGTTTCATCTCTCTTCGAACCTCCGTCAGTTGCTTCTTTGAACTCTGTAGGCAATTGAAAAGTGAAAACTTTTATCCACGAATAAAAAAATCCAAATCGCTCGTCATTCACGGCTCGACATTGATATAGCTCAGCGAATCAAGAGATGGTGCGCTGACTAAGTTCTGCCGTCCATTAGATTTTTGAAGGTTCGTAATGCAGTACCCGCCGGGAGAAACAGAAAAAGAGGAAGAAATATCAAGGAGGAAAACCTGGATTTTACATGGTATATCTCACTATCGGCTTAGAAATGAAGGTGAGGAAGAAGATATAAATAATGAAGAATGTGAAGAAGAAGAGGAATAAGAATAAGAATAAGAATAAGAATAAGAATAAGAATAAGAACAAGAATAAGAATAAGAATAAGAATTAGAACAAGAACAAGAATAAGAATAAGAATATGCAAAATGAGAAAAAGAAGCAGAGGAGGAGAAAAAGAAAGAAAAAGATGAAAAAGAGGAGAAGAAAACTAAGAGCATGCTCATTTTGAATAAATCTATCCTGAAAAGGAATTTATTTCACAATAATATTTAGATATGTATATGTGTAAGTATATCTCGAAGAACTTAATATACCCTGTAAACACAGCACCGTTGGGTATAATAATATAGCTCTTTAGCGGTACCGCAAAGGGCGCGAGGTGTTAACGATCGTTGCAGTGGTGTCAATGTGCCACGCTGAAATATGACACGCGACTTGTCGTTGTTGTGGATCGCGTGATGAGGGGTAAATGCGCTATTGAACATTAATAAATTGCTAAATCGGCGTTTATATTCATTGGTTTTTTATATGGATTTTATGTATATGTACATGTATGGGTATATGCATAATTATATGCATATGTATATATATGTATGTGCATGCATAATATTTCTCCTTTTTATTATGACTTTTGTCGATTTTTAATTAAATTAGTGCGCTACACCGCGATCAATTATACAAGTGCATATTATATGTAGATACATAGATACAATACATACATACATACTTACAGAGATATATTATAAAAAGCTAATATAAAATATTTCACATTTCATGCTCGAATGTCAGTGCGAGCGTTGGTTCATTTGGCAGTAGGTGCGCGTCGAAAGCGGGTATTTAATGAAATATTGCAAAAAAAAAAAAAAAATAAATTGTAGAATCTGGGCTCTCGGTGCTTGTAGTGTGTTATTGTATAAATTTTTTTTTTGGAATAAAGTGTTGTATTTTTAACATAAAATTCGCTATTAATTAAAAAATCAATTTAATAAAACTACTTGGATTAAAATTAAAAAAAAAGAAAAATAAAATTTAAAGAATTAAAAATTTTAAAATTTAAAAAACGTTAAAAAGAAATATAATTATAATAAATATAATAATTACTTAAAAAAGAAGTTAAAATTAATTTAAAAAAAAATTAAAATTCGCAATTAACTTAAAAATAAATCGATATAAATAAAACTACTTTTATTAGTGAAATTTAAAGTATTGAGAAAATTTAAAAAACGTTAAAAAGAAATGCAAACAATTATAATAATTAATTAAAAAAGAAGTTAAAATTAATTTAAAAAAAATTAAAATTAAAAAAAAAATTATAAATTATAAAAAAAAATAAGAGGAAAAATTGTGCAACTCACGACGATTTTCTCAATCAACTTTTAATTTAAAATATATTGAGGTTCAACATATACAATACATATATGCATGACTGTATGTATGCCAACAGTGCAAATACTACATTTGTTTTCGTACGGTTCTTTACAAACGCACACACACACAGCCACACATCCGCAGACGCCCGTGTACATTATCTAATTAAACAAAGTCGTCTTACAAGATCACTGTGATTACAAATTACATGCGGACACAAATACCTGCAAATAAATAAATATACACGTCACCAAGTGCGGTGTTTACATATGTACATATGTATCTACGAGTGCCTTCATTTAATTAAAATTCGCCAAAAAGATTCAGTCGCTTTCGTGCACCCTCCTTTTAACAGTCACGGGTAGTTTTTCGCAAACAATTTTTTTGCCACTGCTTTTTTGGCTCATTCGCCGCTCTTTACGCTCGCACTGACTTCTTGTTGTGGTTAATGTTGTAATTATACATCATCATTGGCGGTGCATACGTCACGGTTTACGGGCCTTCCCTGTACGCCTTGTTCGCAAAAACGCGTGCTTTTCAAGTGAGATCAACTGAAAAAAAAGAGTAATAATAACGGAAAATTATTAAACAATAAACTGATTGTGTAATTAAAGTAGAAAAATGCAAATGAAACAAAGTTTAGCGCGCGGTCTGCTAAATGAATTTAAATTGAGAAAATTCGGCTTTAGTCACAAGCAATTGGATCAGTTCTACCAATCTCAGGTAAAGGGGAAAATTTTAAAAATGAAAAAAAAAAAATTAAGATAAAAAAAATATAGAAAAAAGAGATTAAAAATGTTAAAAAGTTAAAAAAAAAATTATAAAAAAAACATAAAAAAAATAAAAAAAAAATAAAATAAAAATAAAATTAAAAAAAAAAAAATATAAAAAAAATAAAAAAAAATAAAAAAATAAAGGAATAGATGTAAAATAAAAAAACGAAAATGCGTAAATTTAGTTTAATCGTTCAAATGAAAAATAAATCTCATCCACTCAACCTAACCTAGTGTAACAGAAAAAACTGTGTCTTTGTGTCATTGCGCCGCAGAGACATTGAAAACTTTGTTTTCTAATTATTTTGCAATAAAAGCAGAAAACAATTTGAATGAAATTCTCTGTTGACAGTGGAAATTTTACGAGAAATAGCAACGTTTATACAAATAAATATAAATACTTATTGCTAAAACACAAGTTTTTGCCAAATATGTAATCTATTTTTGTAGTTGTTGTGTGTTTTGGCTGCTCGAAAAATGTTTGCGACCTTTGCTATGAATGCTTTTATAAATAAACTTCCGTGTATGTGCAGGAATTGTAGATATATATATATATTTTTTTTTTTTTGACATAACCGGGAAAATAATAAATAAATTTTGAGGTTAGGTTTGATGCTATTGGAGCTATTGGAGCAGCATATTTATGGTGTTGTACACAAAATAAATTTTGTAAATTTTTCTGTTTGCCAACCATTGGCAACTACTACAGTGATGGTGGTGTCGTTTCATAATTTTGGAGTAAAAAAAAATTTTTCTAGAAATTCTAATTAAAATTTACCAAAAACTGCACTAAAATTTGTATAATTTATTTATTTTTTATTTTTTTTTAATGTTTATTCTGCGTTTGAGCACTCTAAAACTACTTTCTGATTTCAAAATAAAATATTAATTTTAAATTAAAGTAATAAATATATAGTAAATTTTAATAAATAAAATAGAAAACTAAAAAAAAAATATATTTGTGCAACTCACAACGGTTTTCACAATTAACTTTCCTTTGTGCACACACGTTTAATTAAATTAAGCAAAACTTATTTAAAAATTCCATATAAAAAAGCAATGCTAGCAATTTACGGTTTTTTTATTGACTTTTTTAAAATTTTTTTGTTATTTAAATTTTTTTTTTTGAAAAGAACCAGATTTATAAAAACTTGATTTTTGATTTTCGTGCAATAAATTAATTACGAATTAACTTTTGACGTAAAGAGAAAGTGGGAGAAATGTTATTCACTTTGTTGCTAATTTTTCTTAGCTCCACGAAAGAAATGATATCTGACTCTACAACATATAATATTTCTTTTTATACTAATTATAAGAAATCGCGGCCACAACAAATTATGAATTTCTTTATTTTACTTAATTTATCCATTAATATTATAATTGGTAATGTAATGTAGGCGCATGAATTGGCCATACAATGTTCGGTGTAGACTACCAATCAGGTGTATCCATTTCTTAGCCTCACGTTGAGTTCTTTGCCGAAAGCATTAGAAATGGCATTCCGTTTGGGCATTCATTGCGGTAGAAAAATCCTTCCTTATCCTAATTTAGGTAATGGGGTACTCGTGTACTAAATTTCAAATAAATCGAACAATAAATAATATTTTATCGGGATTTTATTCTTCTGACATATTCAAAATGAACGAAACCACAATTCATTTTTCACTGAAGCTACACTCAAAACTTGCCAAAATCGGTTGAGTAGTGCCGGAGTCTATAGCTGACAAAGCTAGATACATCCTTTCTATATATATAGATTTCATCATGTTATTATTCATTTCATTTATTCTATTTTTTCTAGTTTACTTTAATTTATTTCAGTTTATTTTATTTTAATTCACTCCCCAATATTGTTATTCTTTTACATTATTTAAATTTTTATTCATATATATATATAAATGTATATATTATTATTAATATTTAATTTCAATTTCTTTATCTTACTTTACTGCACTTCATTTATTTTATTTTATTTGCAGTTGTTTTTATTTATTTCATTTATTTTAATTTAACCTCATTTAATTTTCTAATTTGATTTCTTTAATTTAATTTAATTTTATTTTATTTCTCTCAATTAAATTTTTTTTATTCCACAGTATTTTATTTATTATTTTTTTACATCATTTAAATATGTATTCATTTACTGTATATATTTTTATTATAAATTAATTTAATTTTTTTTCTCTACTTCACTTCACTTATTTTATTTTATTTGTAGCTTTTAATTAACTTTATTTTAATTCAACTTATTTTAATTTTTTATTTTGTTTTATTTAATTTGATTTCATTTCCTTCAAGTTGGTTTTTATCCTAGTATTTTATTTATGTAAAATACATTATTAAATAAAAATTCCTTGTAATTTTATTTCCTTTTATTTAATTTCTTTTTTATTCCCTAGTATTTATTAATTGTTTTTTTACACAATTTAAATATGTATATATTTATTTTATATGTTTATATTAATATATATATATATTATATATTTTTGTTATAATTTAACTGATTTTTTTCTCTACTTCACTTCACTTATTTTATTTTACTTGTAGCTTGTTACTAATTTTATTTCAATTTAACTTATTTTAATTTTTTATTTGGTTTTAATTAATTTGCTTCTATTTCCTTTAATTTCGTTTTTTTACTTCCTAGTATTTTTTTTATTATTCTTTTATATTAATTAAATAAACATATTTCAAGGTAATTTTACTTATTTTTATTTCAATTTATTTCATTTCACTTTACCTAATGAACTTAATTAAATTTTTGCTATGTTATTTGATTTGCATTTTCCTTTTATATTTTGTTTTATTTTAATTTGTCTTCATTTTTTTAAGTTTTTTTTTATTAATGCAATATAATTTTTCTATTTTATGTCATTTACTTTTTACCCCATTTTTTTCTATTTGTTTAATTTTCTTTTCATATAATTTTTTTGTTTCAATTTATCTTAAATCATTTTATTTTTATATTTAATTTAATTTTTTATTTTATTCAATTTTAAATTTTAAGTTTTATATAACTTTATTTTTATTGTTATTATTGTATTATTTATTGTATTTAATTAAATTTTTTTATATATTCTACTTTTTATATTAATTCAATTTATTTAATTTAATTTTTTTTTTATGTAATTTATTGTCTTTAATTTAAGGTAATTATTGTATTTTACATAATTTTTTTTTTATTAAATTTTATTTCACTTTTTTATTTTATTTCATTATTTATTTTCATTTTACATTGTTTTATTTTATTTAATTTCATTTTATTTAATTTATTATAATTCATCTAATTGTTGTATTTAATTTTTTTATATATTCTAGTTTTTATATTAATTCAATTTGTTAATTTAATTTTTTTCAATGTAATTTATTTAGTTTAATTTAAGGACATTTTTGCATTTTATTTAATTTTATTTCACATTTTTTTTTTATTTTATATTATATTTTACTTTATTTTATTTCATTATATATTATCATTTTACTTTGTTATATTTTATTTAATGTCGCTTTATTTAATTTATTGTAATTCATCTTATTATTGTATTTTATTTTTTTTACTATTATACTTTTTATATTAATTCAATTTTATTAATTTAAAGTTTTTAATGTAATGTATTAACTTTAATTTAAGGTAATTATTGCATTTAATATAATTTTTTATTAAATTTTATTTCACATTTTTGTTTTATTTTATTTATATTTTTTTTTATTTTGTTTAACATTTCTATTTTATATTTTATTTTATTTTATTATATATTTTAATTTTACATTATTTATTTAATTTAATTTCATTTTATTTAATTTATTACAGTTCATTAAATTATTGTAACTAATTTTTTTATATCTACTTTTTATATTAATTGAGTTTATTAATTTAATTTTTTTCAATGTAATTTATTTAGTTTAATTTAAGGAAATAATTGCATTTTATTAAATATTTTTTTTAGTTTCATTTCACTTTTTATCTTATTTTATATTTATATTATATATTTTATTTTACTTTATTTTATTTCATTATATATATTTTCATTTTACATTGTTTTACTTATTACTGTATTTTATTTTTTTTTATATAATTGAAGGTAATTATATAGTTTATTTTATTTTATTTGATATTGTTTCTTATTATTTTATTCATTTTTTATTTATTTTTTTTTGTTTTTTTTATTTTATATAACTTTTTTATTTTATTTTCTTTTAACAGTTTAATATTATTTTATTTTGCTAAATTTGGTTTTATTTTATTTTTTTTTTTAATTTTTCTAATTCTTATTACTATCATTCATTTAGTTATATTTACACTTTATTGTTTTTATCCGAAGTAAATTATGAATCAAATTTCTCGTTTTGATGTTTGTGATTCATTTATGCACAAAAATTCCTATTAAGTTTGTATTTATGTATGTTTGTATGTTATCTAATAAAAATGATATCTACCCTCTTTTACAATTTTCATGAAATACCACAATATTTGTTTAGTTCTAAGTCAGTATATGATAAGAGCGCAAATTTCGAGGCGGGACTTATCATGAAATCCCTACGAATAGCGTTTCTGTGTACTACAGAAATATTGATAAAGTGATTAGTGACGTAAAATGGCAAAAGTTTTGTTGCAGTAAAGGCATGACTAAGTCATAAAAATTGCGTCAAAATATGTTGTCAGCAGATGTTGGGAGTTTTGATATCCAAAACAGTGTTCATTAATATAATATTTATATTCAAGGCATGATGCCGGTATTTATGTATATAAAATATATTTGAAATGCCTACAGTGTCATGCAATGAAAATCAGAAAAATTCATTATTTGTCCATAGTTTTTTTGGCGCCAAAAACAGCTTTAGCGTCGATCAACGAGTTAAAAAACGATTACACGATTCAGTCGCGCAGTAGTAGAGGAAATATTGTAATTGGTGAATAAATAACTATTATTTCATAACATTATAAAAAATGTAAATATTTTGCTCAATTTCCGTTTATTTTTATTTTTGTTAAACAGAAATTAAAAACTTTATTGTTGGTGTGTTGAACGCAACACAATAAATACTCAATGAAAGCGGGAATTTCTCGCAAATGGACATCGCTTATTATCTCTCTTACCTCAAGCATAAACAAATACTCTGTAAAGAGCTGTTGTTGTGGTTATTCTACTTAATTGTTTAAACAATATGAAAGTTCAAGTTAATCCGCTGTATTTATTCTAGAAAAACGATTTATTTGTATTTACATATATAAATATCTACAGTGGGTGTTACTGATTACGATTCACCGAGCGCGGTTGTGTTTGTCCTTCAATTTCTGGTGAGTTTCTAAATGTTCTTCCAGTGTAGGGACCTATAGTTTACGCTGAGCCGCCTCCGAACGGCCGTTGGATTTTTATGAGGAGGTTTTATTACAAATCCGAAATAGTCTCGGGAAGATTGGTTATGACAAAATCAAAAGATTTCAAGACCTTAGAGTATATATATAACAATCATTTTGTAAGCTTTTGTCATAATGCTTTAGATCGTTATCTTGATGCATACTTAACCCTCCGTCCGACACCATGATCTGGCCAGATCTTTTTCGTTTTTGGAGATAAATTTAACATACTTAAAATTTAGATAGCAAATTGTGCTCGTAGGTACCCACTTAAAATTTTATTGGCTATCGATCTATGCAATAAAAACATATACCTGTCCTATTAAAAAAGGACGAAAAAAGGATTTAAAAAAAATACACCTTCGGTCCGACACTGGCCAGACTCCTAAGTATTTTGTATGGAAACATATGAACAAATGTATGATTTTGATGATTTTTTTTTGATTTTGATTGGTTATTGAACCGAACGAAATACTGGACAGTGATGAGGAAATTGAAGACGAAGAACAACATGCAACCGCTGCAGTTATTCAGCGTGAAGCTACGGCCGAAAGTTTCTTTGGTAAAGATGGCACAGTATGGAAAAAGGAGCAAACCCCAAGCCGTACGCGTCAGCATAATATTATGCGATTCAGACCTTGTCCAAAACTTTCAACATCGGCTCCGATTGAGGTATTCAAAAGTTTTTTTTTACACCGAATATTTCATTCATTATTGATACCGAAACAAATCGAAAAAATGGAATGAAGAAAATCCAGTTTCAAAGCCAAGAGTTTGGGTTGATTTGACTAGTACTGAGCTTGATGAATTTATTTTGCTGCTGGTGTTACAAACAATAATATGCAAGAGTCAGCACTTTTATGGCCTTCAGATGCTTTGCCCATCTTTCGTGCTGCTATGTCATATAGACGATTCCTTGCATTGGCCCGATATATTCGTTTCGATGATAGTCGTACACGTCAATTTCGTCAAGCAACCGACAAAGCGGCTCCTATTCGGGATATATGGAATTTTTGTTGAACGAAAACCTCGCCAAAAATCATGAGCCGCATGAAAACGTAACCATTGACGCGCAGTTGTTTCCATATCGTGATAAAATTAAATTCACCCAGTTTATTCCATCAAAACCAGCTAAATATGGAATAAAAGTTTGGTGGGCATGCGATTCAAAGACAAAATAACGATTGTTGCTGATAATTTTTCCACAACTTTGAATGGAGCTAAAAGGCCGGCCAATATTGGTCTCGCATTTGTCGGTACAGTTTGAGCCAGGAAAGCATTTTTAACGCCTGAAATGTAGAAAAATCCACTGCGTCCATTACTCGTCATCTTTGTTTGGGTTTCATGAAAATTTGGTATCGCTTTGCAGTTACGTTACGTGCCAAAAATAAAAACAAAGCCGTAAATTTGATTTCAACCGTCCATTATACAACAAATGTCGGAGGCGAAGCGAAAAAACCAGAAGCAATTCTGTATTATAATATCAAAAAAGCTGGTGTCGATTGCATGGACCAAATGCCGACTCATTTTTCAACAAAACGATCGATCAACCGTTGGACTGTGGCTTTCTTTTCATAAGAAAATCCATTCAAATCCGTATACATTTGTCCAAACAGTATTGAAATGACTCATAAATAAAGCATAAAAAATGGTAAACAAATGGCTCGTTTTTTTCCATTCCAAATATTTTTGTTGTTGTTTTTTTTTTACACAGAATTGTAGCTAAACATGTGCCCGAAGATATAGAAATGTAAGGAACGAATAATATATACCTGAGAAATACATATTAGCCTCTCCATATAGTACTTTTTCCCCATATAAACCTAAAAGTATATTAAGTGTGGTGTCGGACGGAGGAGCAGTCGTGCCTGAGGACCATTTTAAGTGTCACCCACTGTACATGCACAGAGTGGAGAATAATTATGTGAATTATATAAAGCGTGATTTATAATTTGTTTAAACAACACAAAATATTTGATTATCAGTTCTTCGAATTACGTACACGTATTAGGTAAATTTTTCTTTTTTGTATTCGTAAAGATTTAATGAGCGAGACTTAAACTCTGTTCGATAAGAAATGTCAGTAGGAATTAAATAGTAACGAAATGTTCAAATTACATTCTCTCGCTCTTAATTTTATTGGCCTCTCGCCTCACCGAATGTGGCTCAGTAATAATTGGTAACCATTGTTACAGTGCATCAGTTTACTAAAGAGGACTTTAGATATGAGATGGAATATATGTATTAATCTATTTTTTATGAATGTAGAACGTAAGTTGAGAACCCAACCGCAAGCGATCGCTCCTAAACGGTTGAGTAGGTACATTATGCGCTTGAATCGGTTGAGGATCGGAAATTTCGCAAAAATATTGTGCCAGTATTTCGTCATTCTCAGTGCAGGCTCTACGCTCTGAGATTATATTCTACCTAGTTGTGGAAGATAATATCTCAGGGTTAGATGACCCATCCGTATACCTACAATAATACTAAACACCCTTTTGCCTAATGCTAGCAAGAGTTTGTTCCCTAGTAGTTTAGTGGTTCTGCTTCTCCAGTCTCGTCTGTTTATAGCGTTCTTGCATATTCTCCCACATTGAGGTTTTGCTTTGACACATTTAATTAATTTGGCTATAAAAAAATCTAGTAAATTCCCCTGTTAAAGCGACTACAAATTTGCCCAATAGTTTCTGCCCGGAAGGCGGAGTTGTAGTCATTGAGTTTGAATTCACATTGGTTATCGGTGTGGTCGCAGAAGAGTCCTGTTGTTGTCACGTATTTGGACTCAGCATCGTGTTATCTTATCTAGCTTTTTAAAATAAGGTTCGTTAAGCTTAGTTCTAGAGACCTTGCTGCCAAATGGAAAAGACAAAAGTTATTGTTTCTAAGCCAGCTCCCACTGATAAAGGTCAAGGAGTATTGTATTGTTGGAACTGAACTAAAAATTTGCTTTAAGAAAAGTAGACTGCCGGTAGTGGAGTATGAATGACAGTATTCTGAAGATGCCTAAGGTCTGAATGAGACATATTTTTAGTTTTAACAGTCGGTCGTACGGCTCAAAGGGGTATCAAGATTTTATAGTACAATGTCTTACTCGTCGTACCACTTTGTACTTTTTAGGAAACCTTGTTCCACTGCGTGTTAACTCGTTGTTCCTCTTTTTTAACATTTCTTCAGGCGAAAATAACAGTCTCAAACATGCTCGATTGCATGTTGTGAGTGATTACAGCTTGGCAACGTCGATGATTCTTTGTGAAAATTGTGCACATATTGACTGCAACAATCTAATAATTGAACTTCTTGTCAAGATCTTGGAGAGTAGGCACATTTAAAACATATACATATAACGTATCTTCTGTCTACTGCAATATGGTAAGATAGTTTAGTGGACTTTTCCGTGTTGGGATCTAATACGATGCACGAATATGCTCAGGGCCTTGTTCGAAGACGATAATCATATGATCACTTAGGTAGACTTCGTTGTTGGGACTGAAAGGCTATTATGTCGAAAGATACCAGCCTAACCAAGCGGAGACAAGAATACTATGATTTTTACGTTGTAGTGTTAGTTTGTGTGATGTGGATCACATGCCCGACGAAAAGTATCGTTGTCCTAGATATTTCGCTTCAGTGTTAAATACATTCATCAAACAAAGCCAGATTTTCATTTCTCAACACGCTTCGTGTGAACAAAATATGCCAAAAGATTTCAGTAAGCTCTTGAAATCAATACGCTTGTTGGCTGCAATACAGTTTGTACTCTTTTTGATGTGATACCAGCCTCTAAGGAGTTGGTTAACGCTACTTGCTCGAGGGTTGCTCAGATTGCCAAGAGTAGGGCGAACGTGGACGTATGAGAAGGAATTGAACTATACTCCACGACGAACTCAGCGTTATCCCGACTAACCGATCGTTGGTTTCATCTAAAGGATAAAGGACAAATCCATTGTTAGAATAAACCAAAAAGCAAATCATCGTAAATTCGCGTTCAAATAAAGATCTTTTGAAATTTGTAGCACTTTGTATACTTTTACATAGTAGATTCTTTCACATTCTTTTTGTATTTCTCTTTTCAGTGGCAAAGCGGTACGCGTAGCATTTGGTATTTGCTTTATAGATGGATGTGGGCGTGCTTCTTTATTTCTGTATTCATAGTATCCTTAGTATTGCAATTATCCGCTGGCAAATTCTTTATCTTCTTGACAAATTGGGGCCTAATGGCATGCATGCTGAGCCAGCTAAGCGGTGCTATACTCGCGACACGATGGCATTTCAATTCGGGCGGCACGCGTAAGGATATAATGGAGGCGCGCACCTTAAAGGAGCCACCGCCAACACCGAGACTAGTCAAATTCTATTGGCTGGTGCATGGCGCAGCGCTCTCATTGGCACTCATCATCACGACAGTTTATTGGATTTTCTTGCATGGGAAGATGGGTGAGTCTGGTGGAAAGAAAAAAACTAAAAAAACTAAAATTTAACAAGTTAAATGAAATTTTTTGTGTTTTCCAACTGCAGACAAACCCAATCGTTATCCAACAATCAGTTTCATAACACACTGCCTGAATTCCGTATTTATGCTGGTCGATTTTTGGATTGTCGCGTTTCCGTTGCGTCTACTGCATATCATCTATTGGATGATGTTTCCCATCATCTATTACATATTTACGGTCTTCTACTATTTAGCTGGTGGTACCGATGAGTAAGTAAAGGGTGTTTGTTCTTTTAGACGTGTGGTTTTCAATGAGGCAATACTTCGAGTTGGTTTTTCTGACAGCTGTTATGCGATTTATGCTCAGTTTGGTTTGCCATTTCATAAGGAAAAACTTACTCTGGAGCAACGTTTGAAAATCGAAATAATACATGAATAAATCCAATATTCGGTCGACGTTGTCGCCTAGCAGAGTCAGTAATTCGAGCTATCATGGAATCAGTTTCGCACCAAGTTTACTGTAGTGGATAATGCGCATCCTGAGAGACGTCATACAGTGCGCACGGAAGACGTTATTGCTGCTGTGGAACGGAGTATCGCAGAAGAACCGAATGAGTCCAGCCGCATGATGACACGTGGCAGATTTTGCAGAAGAATCTTTATTTTCGGTCTTACAAAATCACACTCATATGAGAATTGAAGCCAAACATCAATGAATGGGCTCAAATATATTTGCCCACCATCCCACAAGAAAAATCATTACATCCTCTTGCAAAAAGGCTGTAGAGCCACCATTAATAACTGAATTTGTGGCTGAATTGGAGGATGTTGATGTGAACGAGCTTTGGATCCAACCGAGACGTCACTACAAACCATACAACCAACATTTACAGCCAATTAATTGTAGGAGATTTTTGGCAAGCGCATTATCTCGCGTCCTGGGCCTGTTGCGTGGTCTGCAAGATTGTCGATTTAACACCTCTGAACTGTTTGCTATGTGAAGTCGCTTGTCTATGTGAAGTCGCTTGTCTACGCAGATAAGCCCGAGACGATTGATGCTTTGTAAACGAATATACGGCGTGAGGACCCGATAGCTGCAAAAATTGGTCTAAAATTCGGCCACTCGTATAAAATTTATTCACACCAGCTGTGGCGTTCATTTTGCCGGGGAAACATAATGACAAACCCTTATCTCCATATTAAATCAAAATTTTTCAATTAAATGTATTTTATTTCTTCTTGAAAATCACATGTCTAAAAAAGAACACCCATTATGGGTTGAGAGTTATTTTTATGAAAGATTTATATTTAAATTTCGAAATATTTGACTTTATTTCAATTGTGTCCTTGCAGATATGGCCATCACTATGTCTATCCAATTTTAGATTGGACCAATCCTAAACGCGCTGCAACTACATTTGCTGGCGTTTTCGTATTGTATCTCATCTATGGTGTAGCATTGTTCGCTATTAGTAAGCTCAAGCGATATCTCTCTCGCACCGTCAACGCCATGGATAGTCCACATGCCATTGGTTTGATTTAAAAAAAAAATAATAAATGAATTTCTCATCTATTTAAACATCATTCGCTACATTTTAGTATACGATTTTTTTTATTTCGAATATTTTTTTTTTAGTAAATATTGCATATAAACATACATGTACGAGGTGTGTTCAAAAAATATCGCGAATTTTGTGTTTTTTCAAAAATTATTTATTTATTCATGAATATCTGGTTTGTCCTCTTCAAAGTAATCCCCATGAGATATTATACACTTGTGCCAACGGTTTTTCCAATCTTCGAAGCCCTTCAAAAAATCATTTCTTTATTTAATCTTGTTCAACTCCTCCTTCGATGCGGTATTTATCTCGTCAATCGTAGCTTAACGTCGTCCTTTCATGGGCCTCTTCAGTTTAGGGAACAAGAAAAAGTCACAGGGGGCCTGATCATGGGAATAGGGTGGCTGCGGCATCATTAGTGTGTTGTTTTGGCCAAAAAGTCGCGCACAATCAACGATGTGTGTGCAGGGGCGTTATCGTGGTGCAAAAGGCAATTTTTGTTCTTCCACAAATCCGGGGGTTTCTGGCAGATTGCTACGCGCAAATTGCGCATAACTTGCACGTAATATTCCTTATTGACCGTTCTACCCTGTGGCAATACCATTTTCTCCATTTCACTAATTTTTTCGTCTGTTGTTGAAGTGCTCGGGCGACCGGCACGCTCTTCGTCGTTCACATCTTCTCGGCCTTCTGAGAACATTTTGTACCACCGATAAACGTTGCTTCGGTCCAAGGTAGCTTCTCCGGAAAGCAATCGCGAACTTAATTTCGTTTTTCACACAAAATTTGATACAGGTTCTTTGATGTATTTTTTTGAATAGGTAAAAATCGAAGACCATCCAAAACACGTGCAAGCAAAGCAGCTGTCAACAATTAAGTGAATATTCAAAATTTCCGAGCTTGTCGGCATAAGTGACAGACATGAGTACCAACATAATGCTACAAAAAAATCGTAATTCGATTATACGTAACCCGCGAAAATTCAAAATTCGCGATACTTTTTGAACACACCTCGTATATGCATTGCATAGTTTCCTACATACATACATAATATTAGTTTGTGGAATAGATACATTAGATAATTAGCACGTAATTATTGTATTATAAATTTAAAAAAATGTGTGGAGAAAATACCAAAACAATTAATTAAATATTAAGTACAATAAGTAAGGTTTTAAGCGAATTCAAACTGAATATGTATTATGTAATAATTTTTAAACAAAATGAAAGTAATGGAATAAAAATATTATTGAATCAAAATATTTTTGGCTGCAAATATGTTTAAAGTACCCGAAGAAAAAGGTAGACCCGTTGAATGATTAGTGCCTTTAAGCCATACAAAAGTCCGGCAGCAGACGAAATCGTTCATATGCAACTATAGAAATCTCTAGACTCGATGGTTGATATTCCCTGCCGGGGAGCAATTTAACTTATTTTTTTTAATTAAATTAATTAACTATAATATGATAGTCGGACCAGGACATTAACAGCAATAATAACGTCAGAATTGCAGACCCGCGCAGAATCACTCTTGTCAACAGGCACTACTTTGGGTTGAGTAGGCAATTGAAAAGTAAAGTCCTCTCCCGACGAACGAAAACGACACTCTAAAAGCCCCACATCGTTCCCGTCCTGCGTGCGGAAGCATGGAAGACGACAACAACTGATGAGTCGGCGTTACGAGTTTTCGAGAGAAAGATTTTCCGTAAGATTTACGCTCCTCTACGAGTTGGTAACGACGAATCACGCAGCCGATGGAACGATGAGCTGTACGAGTTATATGCCGACATTGATATAGTTAAGCGATTCAAGAAGCAGCGGCTACGCTGGCTAGGTCATGTGGTCATGTGGATGGATGCGAGTACTTCAGCTTTGAAAGTTTTCGCTGCAGTACCCGCCGGTGGAGGCAGAGAAAGATGAAGACCTCCTCTCCGTTGGATAGACCAGGTGGAGAATTGGCGCCAAACAGCAAAGAGAAGAAACGAATGGCGCAATATTGTTAAATCGGCTATAATAGCATAAGCGGTGTCTACGCCAGTAAAGATGAAGAAGGTCGCACCAGCACTCGAACTTTGACCTTCCCAATGGCAGTGTGAAACGGTAATCACTCGGCCATCATGGCAACCATGCTAGATTAGAAGTTGTCTTTAGGCCGAGTTTCTTCTTCGTTCTTTACTGAGTTAGCCACGGCGAGCCATTCATTCCTTGTTGTTTGGCATCTATTGGAGTGCTTCCACCGGCAGGCACATAGAAAACTTTTGAAAATGGAATATTCCTATCCATACGGGTCATATAATCTAGGCTGCATATAATCGCTGTACTCTGTCAAGGACACCATACATCTCGCGAAAAGGTCATCGTACAATAAGCTGCTTTCAATGTAGATTCAGCAGATGTCTTTGCCCTCGCACTATATAGTAGAACGGAAATGATGAGCGACTTGTAGAGTTCAGCCTTTTTTCGTCGAGAGATGACTTAACTTTTCAATAGCCTATCCAGTAGAAAATAGCACCAGTTGGCAAGATTGCTTCCAGGCTGGATTTCAAGGCTGATAATGTTAATATTAATCTTAGTTCCAAGATGGACAAAGTTCTTTACCACTTAAAAGTCACGACAATCAACAGTGGCATCTAAGCTACACAACGAAATTTTGCTGGGAGAAATGGAGAGTGATAGTTGTTCCAAAACGTTGAAGCTCTCAGCAATCTTAAGAATTGTCTGTCGTTGAAGTAGCGGTGCGATGCGATGCGTGCAAGCTCTTGAAAAACGAGCACGCTTCGTATAAGGTAGGCCAACAAAAACGGCTAATGATATCGCAAACCGAGAGAGCACTAAAACTAAAGAGTACTGCTTATCAGTTTTTCGGATATTAAGGGTGCTTTCAATAATATGGCGGCCGTAGTAGACGAGTGGTTAGCATTACGTACTGATATTCGGATGGCTAGGGTTAAAATCCTAGTACCAACAACATCCAAAAGTTATGGAAAATGATGGAATGTCCACCCTTCTGAGTGTATTTCGGACATAAAATCCTCCGTAAAAAAAAACCATCAGTCTTACGGAGGCTGCCTTCACTTGTTAGAAAAATATCAAGACAAAAAACCACGAATTGGAGGAGGAGCACGGTCAAAAATCGCTTTTGCAGTTACAAAGCGATTATATATACATATATATGGGGTTTCATAACAGGGCTTGTGCTGCGGTAAGATTTCATTAGATGTCTAAATGAATAACTTGTAATCTTTATTTTGGTTGGTGCTTGAGTTATCCAAACTAGATACCAAAGTGATTGGATAGCATCAGCAACAGCAACGGACTCAATTCATTTTCATACAGATGCCTCAAGCCCAAAGAATAACTTCTGTCCACGCGGAAGAGTTTGAGTATGCCGCTCTCAAAGAGTGTTATTCTTCTGATGTTAAGTTAAGATGGCAAAATATTTTTTGTTGTAATGTGACCGGATTATATTAAATAAAGTAAAAGAAGATCACAACAGCTTAACTTGCTAAATAGAAGGGAAATATCTCCCATAATGGGGTTTCTTATAGCGCATCTTCTGTTGACCAGTCAAGCAGAGTCACTGAAGCACCAAATTACTTCTGTGGGAGTTGCAGAGAGGGAAGGAAGACACGAAACCTTAAAGCAATTCAAGGGACAACTTTTAAAGACATGGTCGGCTACGCTGGCTAGGTCATGTGATCCGGATGGATGCGAATACTCTAGCTTGGAAAGCTTTCGATGCAATATCCGCTGATGGAAGCTGAGGAAGACTCGCATCAATCATGTGCCCTGCCTGCGTTGATGGCCTTCCATTGCGGTCTCTGTCATTTACGTCAGAATCACTGCATTTTAGACGTCATAATGTCGACATCATTTACATTTCCATATCGACTAAATCTCACTTAATTGACTTTTTTTTTGTCTGTCGTTCCTATCAAGTACATACATTACGGTAATTGAAAATTTAATTACAATTGCTGTGGGTAAAGTATGTTCATGCTAGTCGTAGTATTGCACTAAATTTTTTCTGGTTGTTTTCTTTTCAACAACAACAACAACAACAACAAAAACAACAATTAAATACAACTATATTGCATGCGACAAATACTAATGCGGTCTTCCTACCTGCGCTTGAGCGGAAAAAACTAGTTCATAAATTTGGAGCTTCATGAGAACAACACCGAAATGGTGAGTGCAAATCCTACGTGAGCGTAGATCTCTTTATTATAAAATGAATTTTTTGCTTACGATCTCTCTTGGTTGATCGTAAATTTAGTGCTTTGATGGACGTAAGTTATTATGCAACGTGATGGTGATGCAGCACTTTTGGTTGGTACTGCGTCAACAGTTGTGATTTAAGCCAAGTTAGTAACAAGGAATTATCCATTTTGCACAGTGGTGAACTGTTTGAAGTTTAATGAAATTTTTATTCTACTACTATTTGTTGCTACTGCTACTACTACTATCTCTACTACCATTATTATTAAAGCTTCTGGTACTACTTATATTACTGCTACTACTATTACTACTATTAATACTACTACTACTACTACTAATATTACTACTATTAATACCACTACTACTACTACTACTACTACTACTACTACTACTACTACTACTACTACTACTACTACTACTACTACTACTGTCATTGTTAATACTACTATTATTGCTCCTACTGCTATATTACTATCACTAAATTTAATACTATTGCTAATATTACTACCACTACTAATACTATTATTACTACTACTACTATTACTAATACTACTAATACAATTATTATATTATATTACTACTACCATAATCACTACTACTGCTAATAATCCTACGACTACTGTTACTTTTATTATTACTACTTTTACTACTATTATTATTACAACGTCTACTACTACTTTTATTACTGCAAATTTTATTATTAATAATACTACTATTATTGCTTCTACTGTTATATTATTATCCTTAAATTTAATACTACTTATACTATCGCTAATATTACTACTACTACTAGCACTACTATTACTACTAATACTACAAATACTACTAAAACTATAACTACCACTGCTACTGTTATGTGGCTGCGCCAGGGGCACGAACGGGGGCCCCAACCTCGTACTCAGATGTGCCACGCCCGTCTACTCAGTAAAAGAAAAATATAAAGTGAACCCTGGTAAACCGCGTAGCATGCAAGTGGTTATCAGCTGTCAGTGGGACTAAACCTGAAACAAACCCCAAGCTTCTTGAAACCGGTTAGTATTTTTGAACTCCTGAGAAGGTTAACCCAACCAAAATCAGGAAAACCACTGCGCTTAAGGCCGTATGCGAGGAATAGTACCGCAACATCAGCATTTTACGGCGGAAGCAGGCTATTGAAGTATGTAGTTGCAGAACAGCAGACCATGCTGGAGGTGGCGTTTAATAACTCATATTCGGACAGGTCTGTGTTTCGAACTTACACCGCTTGATTCGAAAAGAGGGTATATAGATTGGTGATCACCTCAACACATCATCTCAAGCCCCGACCTTACACCGATCTATGCCTGAATTTGGTATCCTCTCAAAATATATACGTACCATGTAAACCGAAACTTCTCTAAGTATTGGAAAGAATATCTCGGAGCCTTAGAATTAGGCTCTCTCTCTTTCTGGCTGGGGAAAATAACACAAGCTGCAGAGCTAAACCGAAAAACTACAACCTTCTACAGGAGTGTTAAATTTTTGCGGTAAGCCGATGATATGGACATCCGTTTAAAAGTTCAGCTTTCGAACGACTTGGCTGTGCCTGGAGACGCCGAATGGGGAAAAGAAAAAGTCTCTGAACTAAGAAATGCAGCTTTGTTTTATTTAAACGAAACACCACAAAGTTTTCAATAGATCTATGTATGCTCTATTTGACTCTAACCACTGTTGCCATTTTGCCTGAAATTTACAAATTTCGCAGTGTTCCCACCGCTCATTTGGTTAAACAAGCATTCAAAGGTAAACAAGTATTCAAGGGAAGCAAGCACAGCAGGCACTCGCGGGGCCAACGTCCTAAGTACAGAAACAGAAGAGGAGGCGAACTAATTTCTATCTTTAGACCTACATCCGACCTCACGAGGGCATCGAAATATTTACTATCATCCAGGTTATTAACCCCTGATCCGCCTTCCGGAAGAAGAAATATTTTTTAATCTGAGTTTTTAATCCAAAAATGATATTTGATACGCTCTTGTATGATATATAGACATAGGCTTGACTGAAGACAGCGCTTCCTTCTAGCTTTTATAAACATGGCAACTCTGTTTACGCTCATTTCCCAAACCGCTTGGCCAAGCCGCAAAAATTAAAACCAAAATTTTTTTTACTTCCAAAAACAGTCAGAATCGCTGTTGCTCTTTATCACTGCAGCATCAGCGCTCTTACTTATTTTATCCCATAACTTTTGAGCTACTACAATTTGTTCGTCTTGCTGTTGTTGTTGTGAGCATTTATAAAGCTTACTGTTGTTGTGTTTTTTTTTCGTTTTGTTGTTGTTTTTTTTTTGCATATACAAACAAGCCAGTTTGGTGGGAGCGCTGAATCGTTGTTAAGTTGTTTGGTGGTTCAGTTGAAGCTTCATTTCGCAGCTGAATGGTTGTGCGGTTGATGCGATTGTGCGATTGCGCGTTGACGACGAGTCGAACAAAATTTTGGTGTTTATATTTTTTTTTTTTTTGATTTTTATTTGGTAATAAGCGCGCATTTCCGGCCAGAATGTGAAATAATAAAAAATAAAAAATAAAAATTCCACATAAAGCAGGATTGTTTATTAATAACAACGCGCGAGCAAGTTTGCGTGGCTAAAAAAAAAATTAATGAAAAAATGTAAAAAAAAAAAATAAATTTGTTTATAGTGTTGTTCTGACTGTAAACCAAGTCAATTATTTTTAACTGTATTTTAATATTATATTTAAATATAAATTTTTTATAATTTTTTTTAATTTTTTTTTAATTTATTTTTTTTTAATTTTAGTTATAATTTATTTTTAAATATTTTTTTAATGTAATTTTATTTTTTCTGCGTAGACGCGAAGCGCAAATTTACGCAAACTAAAGTGCATAATTTTTTTCTGAATTCAAAAATAATATTTGCTAGTGATTGTGGTGCCTAGAATCTAATATCATTGTATATATGTATGTATATACACAAGTGTTTTAAGCTTGATTGAAACGCAACGATTATTGCTCAACAACTATTGCTCATTTTATACAAAACTATTATTAGCTTTATGAAACTATTGTATCAGTGCAACCGAAGCGGGAACGCATGCGCGAAATTTTGACTTGAATAATAAGAAAAATTAGAGAATATAAAATAAAAAAATATAAATTAAAAAATAAAATAACATAAAAAATAAATTTAAAAAAAAAAATAATTGTTTAAAAGATAAAGAAAAACATTATAAACAACAAAAAATATAAGAAAAAAAAATAAAAATAAATAATTCATAAAAAGACAAAGAAAAACATTATAAACAACAAAAAATATAATAAAAAAAATAAATAAATAAAAATAAAAAAATTACAATTGGCACAACCATAAATCATAAAACTTACTTCTCTGCCAACAACACCAACTAAGGCAACGACGGCAAAAAAAAAAAAACTGGCTGCTACCACACGCACACACACATACATACATACATGCAAACGTGTATATATCTTACGAATATTCTACGCCTGCTGGCCTGAGTTTGTTGCTATTGCCAGGTAATTGACCCAATTTGACTTTGGTTGTTGTTTTTTTTTTGCTGCTTTTCATTATAATAGTATTTTAAACTGTCTTTACATACATTTCTTTACTTTGCTTTTTTGTACATTTGCATTTACTGCGCTACATACCTTACAAGTGTTGTTGGTATCTTATTGCTTGGCATCATGCTAGGTCTCATATTGCCAGCTGTTTTAAAAAAAAAAGATAAAAAAAAAATAAAAAAAATATTGTTGAAAACCCAAACAAACAATAACAATATAAAATTAGTTAACAACATTAAATTTATTTAAAAAAAACAGTACAAAGACTCTGCCTCTGAACTTCAAGGTTTAGCTTTATTGTTTCGTACATTTCACGCTGTCTTCTATTGTTGTCATTTTACGCGCTTATCTTGAGTGCTCGGTGTTTGTTTCTAGCTCACTGCATACGAGTACGTCAACTCAATGCAAATAAACTAAAATTATTTAAGCTTTTTTCACCGTTGTTTTGCAAGCTTTTCGTAGAGTTTCTGCAAATGACAGAAATTTTTTTTTTAATATAATAAAATAAAAATATTTTCTGTTTAGGTTTTGGAGTTCTAGCGACTCAGCCTCGAAAAATTTTCCTTTTAAAAATTTAAAAATAAAAAAAAACAACAAAAAAGTGCTGTTTCCAAACTAATGCCAAATACTTTATACCCTTCACGAATTAATCAAATTTATTACGATATTCAAAATTCGAATTCGTGTCAATATTTATTTGAATTTTTGTGTTCAGAAAATGAAATCTTTCGCTTATAAATGCTTTTTCCACGGATCTTCGATCCAAATCCAATCCCCACATCTCTAAAAATCGACTGTATGGGCGATATATGATGTAGTCCTACGATTTCGATTATGTTCAATGCCAAAGTGTAGTTCATTATAGGAGTGTGTGCAGAATACCAATATTCATGTTCCTAGATGATGTTTTGACCGATTTATAATTCAAAATCTGGAAAAGCCGTCGTTCATATGATGTAGTGGTTCGATCTGATCGTTTTTCAGAAATTGTAATTTTTTCGATATTCACGATTTGGTTCATCATGACTTCGTTTCAACGGCAAAGACGTTCAATAAAGAGTATTTTTTTGAGCATTTTGAAGCGTTTGCGCGAAAATATCCGTCGTGAACGGCTGGCCAACGATTTCCGGAAACCTTCGTGACGATAATGTACCGTCGCACCGAGCTGAAGTTGTGAACGATTTTGAGAACAAAAATTCGTTCAATGCCATAGATCAGCCACTATATTCACCGGACTTTTGTTTTGTTTTCAAAACTCAAGTTAACACTCCGTGGAAACCGTTTCGACACGATTGAGTCCAAAAAAAAAAAAAAAAATTGGAAGGGGGAACTGCGGTCAACAGCTGCTGCAACTGGTTGACTGTTCGTGCTAATTTTTTGCTTAGTAATTAAGGACAGTGCTACCAACTTAACAAGAAAAAAGTGCTGATATCGCCATTTCGTCTAATTTTACAGTTTTCGAAGTCAAACAATTGGATTGGGATTGGAACGTTGGCAGTCTTGTTTAAACCATTTATCGTCCATGTCACATTTTCTTCAATATTCAAAAACAAATTAACCCTAAGCATGGTACAATAACAATCGCCATTGAAGATCCGATCCACATGCCCCATCGAAAAGTTACTCGTTGAGGATGTCTTGGTTTCTCCATGAGTACTTGTGGACTTTTGTGCACTAAGCTCGGCTGTTTTCTGTTTTTCGTTGTTCGGACCAGAAAGAGAGAGAGTGTCAGTTGAATGCGTTTTTGCGTGCAAGTAAAGAGATAGATAGTACCGGGACTCATTGCTTGCTGGATATACATACAGTATGACGGGATCTAGTTCGAATAAGTGGGAGTTATGTCGGCTATAGTATCCAAAACTTAAACGTGCCAGTGTGAGTCAATTTTTCGGAAGTATTACGAACTCGTTGTCTGTTGAAGACGGTGGATGGAATCCGTGAAGTCAAGTACTACCCTCTTGTTGTATCTGGGATGGTTCAGCTTCATCCTAGCAGATACTGCTTATACAACATAATATTTTGCTCCTTAAATGGCTGAATGGTTTCCTGGAGGTCTCCACTTCTGGTTCTCAAAACTGTTTTGTGTGTTGTGATTGGCTTTTAAGTTCGCGGTATCTACTCTCACCCTCGTACGCTGAGTGAAAGAGTGCAGACTGTTGAAGTTAAGGGAATACCTTTTGTTAGCTTTGAAATATACAAAATAAATAATAGATAGCAAAGTACGCCTCTTGCTTAATTTTCCAGAGTTTAGAGGAGCGACCTCGAAATTCAGTGAAAGACTGTCAATTACTCAGTTAGTTCAAGGTGTACCTCTTCAATCACGGTGACAATAAAGTATTATAAATGTCCAATAGTAGCACTTCATGGTTGTCTGCGACAAAAGCTTTTGACATATGCAGTGCTGACTGGACTTTCCGTGCGTCGAGTCAACTTTGGTTGAGCTCGTGAGCTTTCTGTGTGTTCTTGGCTTTAAGAGTGATCACTTATGGTACGAAAGTCATGCCGATGCGCTGCTGGATTCAGATGTTGAGTGAAAGGCGGCTTACAGTCTGCTGCAGTTACCCGAAGAGAAGGCTCTATAACATTACTCAGATTGTTGGTTGATGAAAAGGAGTCTAATCGCGCTCCTCCGTCTATCACAACTAAGCTTTTGCGAATAATTCATTCGATTGAAATGTATTCCAACCATAAGTGCCCACCTCCGTAAATATCTGGAAATTTCATTCATTTTACCGTCAAGTGATTGAATGAGATCACTTGAGTGCATGAATTCAGCTAGGCATATGACGTACTTTTAAGTGCCATAATATTTTAGAAAATATTGCATTTGAAAGCTCACTGTTTTTACACCAGTTACAATATATCTGGAATACCCAATCTAAGATGGTTAACAGAAGAAAGATAAATTTCATCATCTGTGCCTGGGTTAAGGGTCTGATTATGGTTTTTACTACTGCTTCGGTTAAGTTCGCTTAATATGACTTTGGAGCTTTCATGATTTTGGTAATAAAAAAAATTAAAGGATAATACAGTTTTTCGATAAAATGAAAGCTAACGCCTTAAGTTAGATAAAAATTGCTCCTCAGATAAAAGTAATTGTTATTCTTTGAAGTACTCAAAAGCTTATTAAGTTCGCTTAATATGACTTTGGAGCTTTCATGATTTTGGTAACAAAAAAAAAAATTAAAGGATAATACAGTTTTTCGTTAAAATGAAAGCTAACGCCTTAAGTAAGATAAAAATTGTTCATCAGATAAAAGTAATTGTTATTCTTTGAATTACTCAAAAGCTTATTAACAGTAAAGTGTCATGGTGTCCCCTGCTAATTCTGACAAAATGTAAAAGAGTTATAAAATATATGCTTAATAAAAAATCATTTTAAATTAGCGCTAAAATCACGGTTTTCATAGTCCTTATGCATGGTTTTATACGTTCGAAGCTTTCTCGAGCTTTTTGACTTAATTCAAACATTTTTCTTACTCACAAATATGAACACTAAAATATAAAAATATAACAATATATTTTCAAAAGGAATATTTGTAATGTAAGAAAAAAACTTTATTTTATAAAAAATTTAAAAAAAATTCAAAATAAGTTTTTAAGCCTCTTCTGTTGAGAGTACATAGGGTAATATAATTATGTAATTATTAAAAAAGGTTATCTGATATCTACACTAAATTTATACAAATACATATGATATGCAATATAAAAACCCCAATTGGGTTTCTTGCTCTCGCTTTACCGTACTAACTTAAGCCATAAAAAGCTTACATGAAAAGCTCACTTCTTGCAAATTTAGACAGCAGATTTTACTGTACTCAACTGTTATGCATTACAAGCAATTTTTCCCAATTTAAACAGTAAATTTACCACTCACTTGCTGCTTCTTATTCTTGTGGTCAGACCAAAAAAAAAAAAAATTAATATATAAAAATTTTTTTTTTTTGCAATAAAAACCTGTTACCTTAAGCCTATGCCGCAATGACTCAAATTTATTAGCAAAAATATAATCACAATTACCGCAACAATTGCCACATATATGTATTACATTTTTTTTGTTGTTGCAAAGTTATTAGTGTATTTCACTGTTAGCCGGCAGGTACCGCAATTATTTTTATTTTCAAAGTTTACACAAATTTTTATATATTTTATAAATGTTAGCTTAAGCACATATGTAAGTAGGTGTGATGATTTTTAAGCTTTTAAGCGCGGTAATAGTTTTAGGTGGTCCAGATTTACGCATTTTTTTTAGATACCAATAAATGAAGAAAGCAACGGTCTTCATCTATGTTGATGATTTGAAACCTCTTCTGAAGCATGACCGTTCTACTTATGAGTTGATATACATGTGACATATAAATATTGTACTTTGAAAGACGTAAGATAAAGCAATGAAAATTATATCCCAACAAACATTCAAAAGATTTTCTACTCGACATGTATACGGGCTCTCTGCGAGTACTCAACAGCGCAGTTTAAGGAAACTGTGGAATGGCTCTCTAGGAAAGAGAAGCTTATACGTTAGAGATGGTCGTTCGTAGTGCACAGAAAATGACTGACAACGATCAAACCCAACATGTGTGGCCTCTTTCACTGGGAGTTTGCTAAGAGAAAAATAATGCCCGAAGTGGGTGAGTATGAAGATCTTGAAAAGCTGGGCAACAGAGTTAATGCTATAATTCTATAAAAAAAAAAAAATTAGGGATTATACGGAAACTACAAAAATGTTTCAAGACCGGAACATAATCATGTTGGATCCAAGGAAGATATCTTCCCACATATGTACAATATATGCTCAGTTTATGGAGTGATAATTTCTCCAGCCTGCTGAATGCCAACGAAAGTTAAACATCCGGGGGTAAAGTACTAGAATATGTGATGATGGTTAAGATATTCCCATACCAAACTAAGATGAAGTCGAAATACCAGTGCAACTGTCAGAGGAGCAACAAAAC